TGTGTAGTCTCATCCCAATAATTTACATGATGGATATTATAGAAGGAAAAATCCTACTCCCATTATTTAGCTCAATAATGTCAAAGATGGAATCCTAGGCATTTGTATTCTTCTATAATCATCCTATCACTTATTTTGACATTTTTCATTCATATTATTGGACTACTAACCGTGTGGGTCACCCCCGAGTGAGCCTACGACGCCATTCTTGAATACTTGCTATTTTTAGTAGGTTGAGCCCAAAATAATGTCTGGGCCGCCCGACCTTCCTCAACTTGTCTTGAAAAGTTAAGTATCATTATTTGGGAAATGTTGGGCTCTTATATTCATTAATAAGGCCCAAATAAGTATTTGCAAACCCGACACTAATATACGAGTTGAACAGTACGATAATCAATCATGCACTACGTAAAACATTAATCGTTTTACAATTGTTTGGAAATCGGAAATTCAATGCATAAACTTGAAATTTAACTTGAATTTTCAAGGACGTTCGAGTGCGGTGTCACATTAGCAGTATTCCTTGGAAGCCACTCTTACAACATCCAAGTCTAGCTCTCACATATAAGAATTGATACTCCCTCCGTCCCGTTGAAAGATTTTCACTTTCCTTATTTGGGTGTCCCATTTAAAGGTTCTCATTCCATTTTAGGAAATAATTTACTCAAATTTCTCTTTCCTTGTCATTACATGTCAAGTCTCACAATTTCCCTCCCCCAACTTATCTCCCTTTAATTACTTTCACTTTATATGTTTACTTTTTCTAATTTTTCTCTTTCCTCTCTTTTTTACCCAAATTACTTTATTTAACCACTGCCTGAAATCGTGTCATTTACCCATGGGAACCTTTCAACGGGACGGAGGGAGTAATATTTACTGAGAATGTAGGGCATATATATAAGAATCAAGTCTTAATGCTGTTTTTGGGGGATCAGAAGCACCCCAAGTCCCCATTTCCTCCAATGTTGATTAGTGTCGTCTACGAACTGTGTTTTGGTATTATCCTTGCCTATGATTTCTCTCTAATTGAATGTCATATGCACCAATGCGCTTCCTTGTGTGTAGATTTCGTTGATTTTTTTAAGTTTCGTGGTTCAACATTCAGGGGTGTTCACCTTTGACCTTTCTACAACATGTTCAAATTAACAAAATTGGGATTAGGCTGTTTTTTCCTTTCTAGTATTCTTGGACCTAGCTAGTAGTACAAGTTGCTTATCGTTATTTTTGCTATTTCATCTTTGTCCAGAACAGAATATAACTTTCCCGGTGTTATCATAGATCCATCTCATGATCTTATCACAATTCAGATTATTTCCACCCATTTTCTTTATTCTCTCTTTCTTAATGCAGTTTTATTGAGATTTCCTTCTTTATTAACATGGTTACAAAATACCTGTGAGGTTCAATTCATTTCTGTTTTGATAGTCTGGCATTAATCCTCGTGTCACATTTATTAATCAATAATTTTACTTTTTTTTAGTTGCTGGATGAATAGATCGTAGTTATGAAGTACTTGAAATGTTCATCTCTTTAGTAACTTTATCTCACTTGATTTCACAGTTCATTATGTTTAGTCATTATGGCAATTATGTTTAGTGTTCTAAATTCGCACTCCAACTCTCCAAGTACTCGGTGTCTCGGTGTTCGAAATGTTGCTGACCACCATATGAAATTTGTGTAGAGTTGTAGTTTATGGTGGCCCTATATGGCGGAACTTCGGCAATCTGCCATAATATGGCACCCGCCATTAATAACTTGGATCTAATCTATATAATATAATAAAGCAAACCTTTGTGGAATGCTTTAGAGAAATTTTTGACATGTGGCAATTCTCTTCATTCAAAAATCCGCCAAGTGGCAGCTCCATATTAATACAATATCATTATGAAGCTCAAAGCAAACCTTTTGAGCTTCTTAACCCATGTTACATACATCAATTATAAGCATTTAAAATGATCAAGAAAAATGCATTCACCTTCCAAAAAACTCCACATATATATACTTCGTATTACAGTAACAGTTTTGTCCAGTCGGATGGACATGACCTTCTGTCTGGCCGACATCATTAGGGTCTGTTTCCGGTTGAAGTTTTTGAACATGTTCATGAAATCTAGATTATATCCACAAAATTTCAGCTTATATTTAATCGGGAAGTCGGTTAAATAAATTATTGAAAAAAATCTGCTGTTATACTTAATCGAGAAGTCAGTTAATTAACTTATTGAAACAAACTGTGCCAAACTATATGGAGTACATAATTGTCGATTTTTTTCAATAATTTATTTAAATGACTTCCCGAACTGAAATTTTGTGGACATAATCTACACTTCATGATGAACATGCTAAAAATTCATAAAAAATTTCACCGGTAATTTTCCCAAACATCGGTCTGTCGGTCGAAGGATCCTATCCGGAAGACTGGACAAGATCTTTTTCCCTCATAAGCAAACGATGCCCCCTTATAATACATCGATTACTTATGTCATCATATTTCCTTTTAATGCATTGATCCCACTTCTTATTGCACTCGCTTTTATGGTTATTTTGCCCACCTACTTATCTGCTTTAGCAGCTGAAATAGACACATAATTATTAAAATAAAGATTAAAAATTCTCGAAAAGTTTTAGTTAAAATTCTTCAAAGCTAGATTACAATTTCTCTAGACAGGTTTTTGATAGATCATCAACCGATAAAACTATTTCAATCTCAATTTACTAAGCACACTGATTCACTTTATAGATTAATCATTACAATTTTTTTTTATATCAAGTATGGTGTTCTATTATTGTAAGTATATTGCTTATTCTAGGGAATCAAGATTCATACAACAATTAGGGAGATGTTGATTTATAAGTTTGAGAGACTTATGGATGAGTCCAAATTCTACATATGAAATGGTTTGAAAATCATGCATAAAATACCTATAAAACATAATGTTATCAATTAGACTAGACCATGTCACCTCCTAATAATGATGGCGATGATAATATTGTTGTTGTTGTTGATGATGATATTAATAATTTGATAATAATAATAACAATAACAACAACAATAATAACAATAATAAAAATAATAACAATAATAACAATAACAACAACAACAACAACAACAATAATAATAATAATAATAATAATAATAATAATAAAAGTAATATATCATATCGATTTGATTTGAAAATTTCACGTCTGGTGTGGATATTTTTTTATGTGATTTAATTTGATCTGTATCGTCTGATCTAATCTTCTGATATGGTCTGAATAAAATAAGAATAAAGAATAGATATTGGACATACATAACAGCTCCTAGATCACAAGGTCTACCACATTAACATGGATGTAGAGGGTCGATTCAATCTTTTGTCTAAGTTTTATTAGTATCTTTCTCCTAAGTTAAGATTTATCTGTCTTCCTCCCATTCTTGATTCAACTATATATTCAATTCTATTTTTCAACAATAATCTTTATGATTTCTAAATTCCTTCTTGGCGACTCGATATAACTCATTGAAGTGCACAGTTTATGAGTTCACGTGTGATTTAGTATCGCTTCTATTTTAAAATTTATTTTCATTCGTAATTTTTCATAACAAATACTAGAACATATTTTTCCGTGCGATGCACGGGTACATATACTAGTTTATAATAAGCTGCACTTTGTATTTTCTTTTTACTAATTTCACAAACACAATCTCTTCATAAAGTCATACCAATTTCAAAGTTCTAACATCTTGCAGTATCAAAGCATCAAACTTTAAAGTGGAGGAAGGGATTTAGTAGCTATAGCATAGGCCCACCTTTATTTAGAGAAAAATATTATGCCAATATGCATGTTTGATACACCTTTCATTTTTGTAAGTTGTGAAGGTTGTTCTTATCATGGTTGACATAGCTTTAGGTGCATTATCATGGTCTTCTCCAATTCTATAAAATAATTTGTGAATCTTTATTTTTAAGGCACAAACACCTAAACAACTGTTTCCAAAATTTCAACAAGACAATTCCATCAAATGATCGTTTGTATAACATTTTTGTAGAGAGACCCATTCAGTCCATGAAATTGACATCTTTCTTAGAGAATATTAGAATTTATGTTATGTATACTTTTAAACTTTAAAGTGTTGCATAATTATTGTTATTGTAACGGTGTGATATTGTGATGGATGAAAACATAATTGCTATGTTTGTAATACTAACTACCCAATATCGTTGTTAAAGATGTCGAGTCGAGTCTATGATGGTAACGTAAGCCTCACATCTTTAGAATCCTTTAGCTCAATTTAGCTGGTATAAGAACCTGGTCTGATAATTGTTGGTGTGGCTTGGGCCACACATTTGAGACTTGGTTTGGGCCATTTTTTCCATCCATTTAGTTATCTAGTTTTTTTTATGAACCAGGACCCACACCTTCACAGTTCTGGTGGAACCTCACAAACTCAGTGCCGTGTTGCCCGCCACCGGTGTTCCATTGCCAAACTTGGTCCATCAACATCAACCCTGAAAAAACACAGCAACAATAAATTTCCCATAGTGACCACCGGCAACCTTGGTAGTAGTTGAGCCTAGGTGGCAAAGTTACTAAAGACGACTCTTAAACGTGCCTTTGAGGCTTTGATGCCAGCAGAATGACTTGTTTCAGTTGTTTAGCTGTCTAATCCTGCTTGGGCAATGGGGGTGTTAAGTATCCTGAAACCATTGTTCACTAAGTTTGAGTCTAGTCTTGTATGCAATTGTATTAAAGTGTAATTAAACCTCACTCTTAGGATCTTTTTAGGGTGAGTTAGGCCCAATATAACAATAGGACTAAGTATACTTCTCCCCGGGTTTTCTTTTGTGTTTCTATTAGCATGCCTATTACTTCATATATCATGTAGAAATATTGTGTTTGTGTTAATATCTGGAAGGAAATGTCATGGTATTATTGTACAGGCTGCATAACTATCAAGGAGCTTGGGATGGTAATGAGGTCTTTGGGACAAAACCCAACTAAAGCTGAGCTACAGCCTACAGGATATGATAAATGAAGTGGATGCCGATGGTAATGGAACGATTGACTTCCCAGAATTTTTAAATCTAATGGTGAGGAAGATGAAAGACACTGATTCTGAGGAGGAGCTGAAAGAGGCGTTTAGAGTTTTTGACAAGGACCAGAATGGTTTCATCTCCGCTGCTGAACTACGCCACGTGATGACTAACCTTGGGGAGAAGTTTACAGACGAAGAAGTTGATGAAATGGTCCGGGAGGCCGGTGTCGATGGTGATGGGCAAATCAACTATGATGAGTTTGTTAAGGTTATGATGGCTAAGTAATAATTCCTCACCTCGCTCCCTTATATAAAAATCTTTCTGGTTTTGATATGGTTGAAAAATGGGAAAGAATGCCTGAAACTTGGATTAGTTCAGCAAATATAACTATAATGCATTTCTGTTCACTTTTTCTTTTCTATTTGGAAAGGATTCATGGTTCGACCTTGGATCACCGTATGTTTCCATAGTACTTTTATCAGTTTTATGCCCCTTTTTGTGCGAGATGAAGTGCCTTTTTTTGAACTTTTTATTTATATTGTTGTCTCACTTGTAAAATCATCTACATTGGGGCACACATGTTATACACACACACATTATTTTTAAAATAAAAAAGTGCAATGCTTCGATTAAAATAATGTGCTGACATTTTGATTAAAAATCAAACTTTTCTCTACCCACCAACGAAGAGTGCATAAGGCTTTTTCGGAAAGAAAATAATGGTACTTCAATTTAAGAAAATATGTGCAATATTTTTCTCAGGAAACGTCTCATCATTTCACTTGTACCATTTTGTGAGATACATGTTTTTACTTTTTACTCTCCAAAAAATGAACACTTGACTAAATTCTCCTTCACTGAGTGTATATTCCCCCTTATATATTCCGTATTATTTTATCTATTATTATATATTTTACCATTTTCTATAGGATTTTGCCAAATTCATAATCTTTTTGCTAAATTTCTGCATTTAATTATCCCACAAATTTTGTGTTTAAAATTATTTCTCTTTTATCCACATAAATCTACATAAATCTCAACCATTGAATTTTCACATTATTATTTTACGCGAAAGTCAAACTTGGTTAAGTGTTGTGAGAAAGGGATATCATTATTCTCACTCAAAATATAATTGTATTTCTACATTGTAAAAGCAGTGTCAAATCTAATGATTCACACTTTTGAAACGGAGATTATTAAACTATGAGTGATGTTCTAAAAGGTGTAAGACGTGGTAACGTGTTGAGACCAAGTCTCTAGCCTTTGAAGCTTTGATGGGAATAGACAAAGCCTGGACGTGAAAAGACGTTTTAGATTTCTATTGATAATTACTCCATCTGTATCCCTATTATTGGGACGGAAGGGAGTTGCGTGGTTTTTAAGAAAAATAGAATTATGTGGTTGATAATGAGTTGATAAGGCGAGAATATAGTAAAAATGAATTAGAGTCACACAAATGTTACCAAATATAGTATGAGACTATAATAGAGGGACATCCAAAAATGGAAAAAATGGACAATTATAGGGGGGCGGAGGGAGTACTATGAAATATTTTATAGTGATATGTGAAGACAAAGATAAATCTCCAAAATATATTATACAAGATTGAGCTTAATTGCTACTTTATTCAATATATACAGTTTTTGAGTATATAAAAGTGCAAATGTAAAATGATATATTGTTGTTTTTCGCCTTTTGTCATCTAAGGGCATAACCATTGGTTAGTTTATTTCAAGACTAATTAGATGACGTGGTAGATTAGTTCAAACATTAACATTGAGGTAAAGAGATTATTTAAGTGGAATCAGTGGATTATTTAAAAAGAAAATTCGGTATCAAGATTCAAATCCCGGATTATTGTAGATTATAGTTAAAACGCACTTAATGCATGTCATAGAAAAACTATTTATATGAATATCATTGTTGATGAATAATTTTAACTTTTGAGTTTATTCAACATTTAATGCGTAAGAATGATGTGGCAATTAGGTGTATTAGAAAAATCGATTATTTGAATATCATGAATGAAGATGCTCTAAAGAACACTGAGTGAAAGTAGTAATTACTATGAAAGAGAAGATAAAAAAATTGAAGAAATAAACATACTCCCTTTGTCCCTGTATAAAATGCATACTTTGAATGACACACTGTTTTGCACTGTTTTGATTGCAAAAAGTAAAATGACCTTTTATATAGGGACAACCCAAAAAAGGAAACAATACCTTTTATTTAGGGACGGATGAAGTATTTTTTTATGGGCATGATAATAAGACTTACCAAATCAAATAACTGGTCCAATGATCAAAAGAGATTTTTAAAGTAATACAATGCAAATAAAAAAGAAAGAGGTTGATATTATTGTCATAAACATGAAAAATAACATCTACATTGCTACAATTTATAGCAATTCTTATTAGAAGGGGTTTTCACAAATATTACCAAAATAAAACATATTTACAAAAATATGACTATTAATTACTACAATGATATGTCATGGTAACTTAAGTATAAAGAATGAACATAAGTTACTATAATTTCATTACTACTCTAGTCACTAATCACATTTTTGTAATCAAGTTATATTTTAGTCATAAATATGTAATTATTTCTATTAGTAAATCTTTAGTTTGCTCAAAATGAGACATCTTCTCGTGGGATTACTAGTGCTAGGCTGTTAGGAAACTCATACAACGTCTCACACTTTTTTTTATCATCAAAACAAACTGTTTTATATTAAAATCATTAGGAAAGGAATCGTTACAACAAACTCAAAAAGACCAACAAGCACTATCAACCCATATGACTAGCCTTAGAGACGATCACATCTGAAAGAGCAATACGAATCGCTAACCACCAAACGAGTGTGACACAACAATCACTGGCCATATAGATCCTTCCAACGACATAATATCTAGCAGATTTGTCGATCATAATTGTAGACATAAAACTAAAGACATCAACAAAAAACAGAGCAACAAAAAAAACGCGAAAATAAAACCATACAAAATAAATAATTGATAAATCTCCCAAATCTTAGCATCTCGACCACTCCAAGGCGACGGTTCAGGAGGGGGACGGACCGCCGATGTGTCTTCTCACTTGCTTAGCCCTTCACCCTCTACGTACTCATGTTGATTCGCCGGAAATCAACTCTTCTATCTCCTTCTCAATTGCAGGAATGAAACAACGTTGTTTTAGATCTTAGGGATAAAGTTCAAATTGGACACTATGGTTTCATCAGAATCTCATTTTTTACACTAAGGTTTTAAATGGACCAAATTAGACACTATGGTTTCATATGTATCTCATATTGGACACTAAAGTTTCATAATTCAATATAAGTGAGTGTCCAATTTGATCTTTATCTAATATAAGTGAATGTCCAAAACTTATGAATTATGAAACTTTAGTGTCCAATATGAGATACATATGAAACCATAGTGTCTAATTTGATCAATTTGAAACCTTAGTGTCAAATATGAGATTCTGATGAAACCATAGTGTCCAATTTGAGCTTTATCCCTAGATCTTACATAGAAGATATGATTGTTGTTTCTTGAACCTTGGGTTCGTTTCTAAAAGATGTAGCCGCACTCACGCCTCCTTTAAGATCGACAACAACCATGAGAAAGAGAGAGTCAAACGAAAGTCTTATGTGCGACCTTCTTACAACAAGAAAAACGTCGGAAAAGAAGAGTCAAATCTCTGCTGGAAAAACTCAACTAGGAGAACCTAGACTATGGCCGGAGGACTTCGGTTCGTCAAACTGTTGTAGGGGTATCACTTTATTAAAAAAATCAAAACCACCAACCGTTTTGGAAGTTAATAATAATACAACAACATCCAAGCCTTAATCCCAAAAGATATTGGGGTCGGCTAACATGAATCGATATATGATATCACCCCCAAAAGCAAAAGGAATAAAATAAAGATAAAAAATAAGTTATTATGAAAAAGATAATATAAAAAGAAATGAATATACGTAAAAATGATAAAATGAAAAAGATAAAAATAATGTTTATATATATAAGGATAAAAGGATAAAAAAACAAGAAAAACGAATGAGGGGAAAAGATAATATGAGATCATCCTCCACACGAACACTCGTCCTCCACTTTGCTCTCTCTAAAGCCATACCCTAATCTAACCCAATAAGAAGCATATCACTTCGAACTCTCCTAACCCACGTCTGTTTGGACCTTCCTTTCCCTCTCTTCCCTGCCTCTTCTCCACACATCTCAACTCGTCTAACAGGTGCATCACTCGGTCTTCTACGAACATGACCAAACCACCGTAGGCGCAACTCCCACATATTGTCTTCAATATGTGCTAACCCCACCCTTTGTCTGATTGTCTCATTCCTCACGTGGTGTAACGCCCCTCTCAGGGTTAAAGGAAACGTTACACTAACTTACTACTTTTAAAAATAACTGCAATATAACGGCCGTCTATTTAAGAAAGTAACCCTGATATAATCTCAAAAGTAACTAAAACAACTCCAAATAAAAAAAAACTTAATAAAATCTAGTTATCACTAGCAAATGTGATAACCACCTGGATCCAGGAATTTATTCAAACATCAAATTCTAAAATAAAATAAAATAATAATAATCTCTTTATTATAACACTTGAATACTGAAGCAAAATAATATCTAGCAAAAAGCCGCCAAGGTCGTTCCCGTTAACTCATCTTGGCACGCGTTCCACTCTCTCATCATCTTCCTAGGCCTTGGCCTTACCCTTAGTATCTGTACATGCGAAGAAAAAAAAAACTGATAAGCTTTACGCTTAGTAAGTCACTATGGATCCACAAAAATATCTAGAAGTCTATGCCAATTTATCAATAGATAAAATTTAGGCTATAAGCATGCACTGAACAAACAACTAACACATAACTTCTCAATTACATTCTGAGAGAGATCTCAAAGGAAAAATATTTCCTAAATTATTTTTCTCAAAACTGCTAGAGATCTCAAAACTTATTATTTTTTTTTTCTGAAAACATCTCTGTAAAGCTCTCTGAAAGAGATCTCAAAAACTTTCTGTAAATCTTTCTGAAAGAGATCTCATAAACTTTCTATAAACTCTTTGTGGCTAATTTTAACTGTGGGCCCGTGATATGTACTCAATGGCGCCAATCCGACAGCTCAGGGGAGCGACCCACTAAACATATCGGACTATCTAAAACTAAAACTGCTAATCTGAGGGATCTAGTTCCCGAGTACATATCACTTAATCTTTCACTTTAAGTATTAGTTCTTTTTATGGTGACGTTTGACTAAACATCATTAAATCTG